GGGGGAGCAAGGAAACATGGGGACTCTAGGGAATGGGGTGAGGAGAGTAACATAAAAAATATTTTCTACTCTCTAACCAAATACTAGAAAATATTTTCCAGAAAACATTTTTCACTCACCAACAAATAAGAAAAAATAAGTGATAAAACCACTCATTTTCCATGAAAACATTTCCAGGGAAAACATTTTCTAGGAAAATATTTTCCTTCAAGCCAAACTCACCCTAATTTTCTGTCCCTGTATTTGAGTTATGTTCTGATTGGCTCGGAAACCTTTAGAAGCAAATGTTCCTGCTACTAACAACTCAAAATAATATAAACTACTTTTATTTTATATTGTCATTAATTCTTGTATTAGGGCAAAATTATCTACATCACACTCATTGATAAGGTGTGACCCTTTTCCAAATTTTACATAAATGCGGGATGCTTTATGCATTTGATTGTCCCTTTATCTGTTTCAAACTTAATGTGATATCTTTTTAGTTACTAGCTTATTTTTTGCATTCTAACAGTATATAATTTTAAATTCGTCTCTAAAGATCCAATATTGTGATATGTTCTTAAGTTTAACTTTTCTGTTCCAGAGAATGCAAGTTAGTAAGGCTAGTTCATCGAGACAGAGGGAGTATTTAGTGGGGAACTAATATTGTGTAGCTGTCCAGAAAATTAGTAGCAATATTGAGGTCGGTAAAATATAAAATTTCTTTAGTTTATACATGATCATTTTGGATTTTACAGACAATTTTTTGTTTTAAAATAAATGAAGCAACTAATATGGGACAGAGTAAATCAGGAAGTAGGCTAAAATCTTCAAGTATCCCTGAGAACGCTACATTTATAATCTTCTTAAACCTTCGAGGATTACTATTTAGGAACCAAAACTGTGGTACCAAAAATCTTGGCGAAATGATTTCCTGGCCACTTAAATTTGTAGGGCTTTTGAAAGCTGATACACAAACTTTTGTCTTTCCTATTTAAACACTCAAACTCGTGAAACCTATAACTAATAAACACATTTGACCATTGACTATGCTTATGTGGCGGTAGCTTATCTTACGTGGACATAATGCGTACAAGTCACATTCAAATGGCGCGTGTATCTGTTATTATTCATTATAAAGATTGTAAAATAAAAAATAAAAAAAACTATAAGGGAAACCAAAAAAGAAGAAGAAAATGGTGGCTAGGTTTATTGACTCCGCCTTATTCCGTCAGTTCCTCCAAAAAAGAGAAATCAACCATGCAGCTAGACTGCCGGAATTTTTATCAATTCCTATGGGAGATAAATTGAAAGAAAAATTGAGGTCTATGAATGTTACCGGAGAAAGGATTAGATTTGAAGGCCTAGCTCCACCGGCTCTGACAACGGAGACAACGAATTTTCCGGGGGAGACGATGGGGAGAATTACTATGAATGATGCTAGGAAAATTTTGAGGATTTCTCAGTTGGAGAAAGTGCGATTGAGACTTAGAGATATGCCGATGAACTCCATTTCGTACTCTAAATTCGTTGAGATCTGTAGTGAAGTTTGTAGCAACAGAGAACAGGGTTTGGAGTTTACAAAGATGTTGGACGATTCAGGCAGCGTCATCATTTTTGGTGACGTCGTTTTGCTCCATCCCCATCAGGTAAAAGTTGCACAGCTATGGTGAAGAAGAAAATAAGGGAAATAGAAGAAAAAGTAGAAATTAATAAATTTATTCCAGCACATCTATGAGGTTTGTTTCCCTTGATGTGTAACAATCTCATTGGTCATTTGCTGACTGGATGGACACGTCTGTAAATATGTAATACACCCGCGTAGGGTCAAGGGTCAAATGTGTTTATTAGTTAAGGATTTCACGAGTTTGAGTGTTCAAATGAGAAAGTCCAAAGTTTGTGTATCGACTTTCAAAAGCCTTATAAGTTTAAGTGGGCAGGAAGCCATTTTGCCAAAAATCTTTGAACTCAAGGATTCATTCATGTAATTTACTTCAAATATTTATTTGTTTCCGCATGTCTTTACATTAAACTGAACAATTTAACATTAACAGTTAAATATTTATCGCTTAACCATGATTAAGTAATATATTATTTCTTGCATTCAATGATTTAGTGCAAAATACTTGTGCAAGTAAGTTTTTACATGAGTTACCATGGTAAAAGTTATGTCAACATGATTACATGCTTGGTAGGAATTATTTCAGAATTATACACCTTACTTTATTTTAGATTATATTTTGCGATACTACAGGGACATATAAACAGAAGACATACCCGAAAAAAATATCTGCACATATGATTGCAAAAAGACGTACTTATAATTTTACTGAACTCACAAAATATCACTAAACATGGTTTTATCATAGTATAATAAATGGGAAGCTTGACAATCTCCTCAACTTGTTATCCCATAGTGTACCCAGAGTGTCACTAATCCTGAAGGTTTTCCCAGCAGCCCAATTTGTATAAGCTGCCGTGCCATTGTTCGGAATGGTCCAACCTACGTTGTCCCCAAACATATGCACCGTTTGGGCTGTCGTGTCTTGCACCAAACTTGCGACGGCTAAAGCAACAAAGGCAAATATGCACAATTTTTTGTCCATTGTCTTTGATTTTAAGTAAGTTTCTTCTTTTCGAGAGGATTTATTAAAAGAGATCCTATTACAACTGAGGGAGTTGCTGATTGCTAGTTTGCTAGAGGAGGATGAGATGCCTAGAACAATTTAACTCTGTTTATATAAGGGAAAGATTTTGAATTGGTCTACACTCTTAACTTGCATGGTGCTAAGTCTTGAATTTCAACTATAGCAAAAGTGGTGGGAAATAAACGTAGGATTTTAATGCTGAATGGACCCAAAAGAGAAAAGTTAGAATGCGAGCTAATTCAGCTCCCAAAATAATTCAGTAGAAGTTGCTATACAATTTACGAAGTTGATTTACGACTGTTAGGTAAGTTCCTTCTCTATATTGAGACTTTCCAACACAGCAAAAGGTGAATAATATTGTAGACAAGAACGAGCACATAACTACTCGGATAGAAGCGTTACTTAATTCCTCAAAGTAGACTCTTTAGGTAGTTATTCCTGCCTAACCGGGAAAATTTTGCAGTGGTATATCTCCTAATAAGTCTTTTATGAAATCAAGTAATGAAAAAGCAGAACAATTAGATAAGAATTTATAAGGAATTAAAGCTCTACTACTTTTTCAGAACGTTATAACTTTCTATTTCAGTAAGTTTTCCATGAAGAAAGAACATTTACCATACGCAGAGGGTAATTCTGAAAATTAACATCTAAAAAAGAAAGGAGTAAAATAGAGAAGGCAATTAGATGCATCAGTGGTTGAATTCACAAGTTTTTAAAATTAATAAAGTGATACCCGAATTTACATAACAATTAGATGCATCAATCATGGTTGAACCTATGGGGTATTTGATTGCATAAAGAAGTCATCATAACCCAAAGAAAGGGGAAGGAAATTTACATGAAGATTCCTTATAATGACTCATCAGACAAAACAGCAATAGAGTTAAAACTGTCCAGAAAATTAGTAGCAATATTGAAGTCGGTAAAATATAAAATTTCTTTATACAACACTGTTAGTCAAGTCAACACAAAAAAGTTAATCAAATTCTTATTTTAATATTTGTTGAAATCATTTTCTTTATATATTAAACAATAATTTATGAAATTCACAGAAATAAACATGAAGTCTTTAACAAACTTAATATTAAATTATTCCATGATCATACTAGAACTCAATGTCATAAGTGCATGAGCAGCCACTAGGAAATCGAATAAAGTACAGTAACTGCCCGGAATACAATTTGGATAGGAAGTAAATACAATACATTGAAAGAGACTATGCTAGCTGCGGGTCGCCTCGAGGAATGCAGCCCACCTAAGTCTCTGTATCCACCATGCTGCTACTCCCACTAGACCATTAGAGATACATGTGCCTCTGCAACAAAAATGCACAGCAAGTGTAGCATGAGTACAAAAATAACGTGTACTTAGTAAGTATCCCGTCTAATTTCGAAGAAGTAGAGATGAAGGGTCGACTTCGACACTTACTAATGGTCCAATAATGATACACCAATAATGTAATATAAATCAAGGATTTTTATAAAGTGATTTCAAACTCAATAGGCATGAAGCAGGTAAACAATTATTTTAATAATAAGAGATTTCCAAAATTTATGTTTCATCATTTATCAATTTATCTCAGGCTAGAGAGACAATATTATTATTTATAAATGTCAAGGCAAGCAAAACAAGCATACGCAAATCATGCCGAGGTCACACGGCTCGATCCAACAATATTTAAATTATGCATTGCCAGAGGGTCGAATGATGCGAACCATAGATGCATCTATTACCCCGCTCGCGAATCACACATGCGACACGGTCAAATATAAATAAAAATAACAAACAATCAATCAAGAATCCATCAGGGAGCAATTATTCAAGGAAAAACAATTTCTCTTTTAAAGTTCAGAAAACGATGTCTAGCCTTTTAGAAAATTATCTACAAAGTTCGATATGTTTTAAGCATTTAAATTGACAATAAGATTACAAATATTTACAAGTAAAGCATGCTTTTGGATCCTAGGCTACCCGGACTTAAGCATAATAGTAGCTACGCACGGACTCTCGTCACCTCGTGTGTACGTAGCCCCCCACAATAATTACACATAGTCAATTATTGCATCTTTGAGAACAATTCCCTCTTACAAGATTAAAAAGGAGACTCACCTCGCTCCGAAGCTTATATCCCAATTCAAGAATGCGCTCAAACCTCCAAATCGGAGTCGAACAATCCAAAAAATATTCAAATGGGGTAAAAACTAGTCAATATATGCTCAAGAATTCATATTCTAATTATTAAACTAAATCCCCAACCCTAAATGCAAAGTTCCTAAAAATTCATCTCCAGGTCCATGTGCCCGGATTCCAGTAATTTTTTAAGAAAGTTGTTGCCCATAACCTAAGAATCAAGAATATATGATTTCTACTCCATTCCATAACCATTTTCGCGGTTAAATCTCATTTTTATCCAAAACCTAGATTTTTCATCTAAACCCTTGATTTTCCCTAATTTTTACATGTTAATTTACCCATAATCTATGTATTAAATTCATGTTGTGTAGAAATTACTTACCTCAAAGTGCTAGGTGGAAACCCTCTTCTAAAAGCTCCAAAAATTACCTAAATCTGAGATTCAAAACTCAAAAATGAGTAAAAAATGGCTGACTCCTGTTTTTAGGCATTCTGCCTAGGCAAGTCGCATGTATGAAATGCGACTTTGCCTGATTTTCGGGCAAAAATGAATTACTATCAGCCTTAGGTCAATGGACCATAATTTTCTATACAAATGTCCAAATGACAAATGGTTTAACTTTCTGGAAATTTGAATCAAAGATCTACAACTTTCATGTTTTATAAATTTTAAGATTCCTTATAGATTTTGAGATGTAAGCTTCCAAAGTAGGCTCCTCGCATTAGAAATTTCTTGGGAAATTGAAAAGCAACTTTACCAGCCTTCATTCAATCGATCATAACTTTCTGAACATATATTCAAATGATGAATGGTTTATCTTTCTAGAAACTAAAATGCAAGGACTACAACTTTCATGTTTTGCAAATTTTTAGATTCCTTATAGATTGCAAGATATGGGCTTCCAAAATCGACTCCACGTATCAGAAATTTTCTGGCGAACAACTTGTGCAACAGAAAATTTCAGCAATTTTCTTTGTCCGGAATTCATTCCGTTAACCTTCAGAAATCCACCAGAGGCCCTCGGGACCTTAACTAATTATATCAACATGTCCCAAAACATGATACAAACTCGCTCGAGGCCTAAAAATACATCAAACAACGTCAAAATCATGAATCGCACCCCAATTCAAGCTTAATGAACTTTAGAACTTCAAACTTCTACATTTGATGTCGAAACCTATCAAATTACGTCCGATTGACTTAAATTTTGCACACAAGCCACATTCGATATTATGGACCTATTCCAACTTTCAGAATCAGAATCCGACCCCAATATCAAAAAGTCCACTTCCGGTCAAACTCTTCAAAAACCTTCAAATTTCTAACTTTCGCCAAATGACCCCAAAATGACCTACGAACCTCTAAATCTACTTCCGAATGTGCTCCAAATACTTGAATCACCATATGGAGCTATTTCCAGACTCAGAATCCCAAACGGATATTGATAACACTGAAATGCACTTAAATTCAAACTTATGAAGTTCTTCCAAAAATGCTAACTTCCACAATATGTGCCGAAACATTTTCGGGTCTTCCAAAACGCGATCCGGACATACGCCCAAGTCTGAAATCATCATATGAATCTGCTAGGACCTTCGAATTCCGATTCTAAGGTCGTCTACTAAAAAATTCAATCTTAGCTAAATTCTTTCAACTTAAGGCTTCCGAAATGAAAATTTTCTTTCCAATTCGACTCCGAACTTTCCAAAATTCAGTTCCGACCATGCGTACAAGCCATAATATCTGGAATGAAGCTGCTCATGGCCTCAAACTACTGAATGACGCGCTAGAGCTCAAAACGACCGGTCGGATCGTTACATATAATATACGTATTAGTATAATATTTTTAAAATAAAAGAGAAAAAATATCATTGATTACTTTTTCGAATAGTTACGTCCTTTCTTCTCCTTATTTTAGTTTACCTACTGAAGTTTACTAATATGAATCTCTTTATAAGTTTATATGTAGATTTTGTGAAGTACATATTCTCTTAAATAAATCTTTTAAAAAAATAGAGAAAGGGGAGATGAGAAGTCTAGACAGCAAATCTACGAGACAAAGAAACACTCTAATAGGATTCTGTCACGACCCAAATTGATGGACCGCGACGGGTGCCTGAGTCCTACCTGTCAAACACCCCTAATCATGAGTTTAAGATATGAACCTGAATATCATCTGCTGCATTGCGAAAATAACATACGTGAAGGAAACCTGTCATCAAGGCATATGTACGTATACATACAAAATACAGTGGGCGAGCTGGCAAGGCTGCTATAGACAACCATACATCCAAAACTGAAAGCCGACAAGACCACATACAACCCAACTAGACATACTGTCCACAGACCTCTAACAGAAACATAAATGTACAAAGACGAGACATATATATATATATATACACACACACAAAAACGTATCGTACCGAAATCAAAAGCAACTCCGGATCAAATGAAGCACGCCAACTTTCGCTGATCAGGGATCCTAAGAAGGGGAACCGTCAGCTTGCCTACCTGCACCTGCGGGCATGAAACGCAGGCCCCGTGAAATAGGGCGTCAGCATGAAAAATATACTGAGTATGTAAGGCATGAAAATTTGTACGTAAAAGACATAGATGAAACATGGAATAAGGAAACACATCTTTAAAGCTGAATAACTTTGTAAATTCTGAAACGTTTATGATGTCGTGCACGTGCGTATAAATGTCGTGCCATGCATAGGTATTGGTGTACATAATATCATCAAGCCACTGAGGGCATACCATCATATCGTCTCGGCCACTGTGGACAATATCTTCAATATATACTAGCTGATCAGGTGGTGGTGCGTATATAACACCGTAACCTTTTCCCATATCCCATATACATATATTTACATATATACGTGTATATAACACCATCTGGTCATGGGTCAATGCACATGTATAAATGAGTGAAATGCATGAAAAATACGTAATAATTTCAATATTTCTTTCGAATAAACTTTTTAAACTGTGTATTATTCTGAGACCCATGAACAGAAGATAATAATAATTTTCATGGGGAATCAAGAATATAGATACCCCTAATATTTCTACGAATAGAGTAATTTATGAAAACTATATGTTTGCTCGTTTCTTCTGTATAATTTGGACCATGTCAAAAGAAAGAAGGGACGACCTTAACATACCTATTTCTTGAATTATTTGAACGAATCTGCTTCTGCAAAATATGGACGAAATGTACACTTTGGATTGGAACGTAGGTTTTCTGCTTTTAACGTTTTATGAGCGAACAATGGATTTAAGCTAAAATTTGTTCCAACGTTTTTGAAGATGGCTTTCAAGATTTTTACTTTGATGAAGCTAGATTTTGGGACGTTACTTTGATGAAGCTCCTTACTTTGATGAAGCTACAAAGTTTCAAGCTAGATTTTGGGACGAATGGATCCTTTTTTACAAGCATATGGTTGTTTTAGAACCATTTTTGTTCTGGATAATGGTTAATGTTTAAAATACAAGTCTTATTTAAGACTTTAAGCCTTAGTAATTATTATGCTATACTGTGGCGATTTGGCAAAAGTGACTAAGAGTCACCTTTTTCTATTGTGGCTTCTTGTCACGTTGGGGGTTAATTTATTAAGTTTTTATCCGTTTATTAGTTCGGGGAAAAGACAGGACTATCTATAAAATTGAAACTATTTACCCTCCCCTACCCATTAAAGAATTCTACCCACTAAATAATTACAACTCCTACCCATTTAATAAATAAACGACAGTAGCAAAATAACTACCCACGCTTTTAATGCCCTACGTATAAAAACGCAGAAGCTGCTCAAAATTTCAGAAAATTAGCGCACAAACATGGAAAAATGCAGAAGCTCTTCAAAATTTCAGAAAATTAGCGCACAAAATTGAGATTTCCACTGATCGAAGAGCAGTAAGTGTGAAAAAACAGATCGAAGATGCTGATTCGGATTTTAATTTCGCTGTTCTCTTCAGATTTTGATTTTGCTGTTGGTTTGATTTTGATTTCGGAGCTAAACTTCTGAATTTTAGCTGAAAATTCTAATCTAGGTTTGGAGATCTGGAGATCTAGAGGTTTGATTTCGCTGTTGTTTTGTTGAAATTTCAAACACTGTTGATTTCGAACACTGTTGAAATTTGCATTGTTGAGATTCAATTTTGGACATAAAAGTGATTATAACTTTAGAATCATGGAAAATATTCCAATTCTGCTGCAACATAGTGGAGAATGGGCTGGTAACAATAATTTCATAAATTTTCATGTTGATGCAATTCTAATAAAGACCTATTGGAAATTTGAACAACTTCTCAGAGAAATTGCAAAGCAACTGCAAAAGGACAGTAAAACAATAGTTATTCAGTATGCTATTGCTCAAGGATATCCACCAATTATAATTTGCAGCGATATGAGTGTTAGTGTTTATATGGAATTGAAAAAATCAAGTGCAGGGATGACAACACTTCCTCTATGTGTGTCGTTTGCTAAAAACACTATAGCTGCAAGCACCTCCAGTTTCGATGTTGCTCCAATTTCACCAGAAATTGCACAATTTGAAAGCACTGATATGATTACTACGTTTGATGTGCAAGAAGGAGATGACGCCATTTTAGAATTTGATGATACAAACATCATAACTGATCAATTTCATCAAAATGTTGAAAAAGGACAAATTTACGAAGACAAGAACCTGCTGGCTCTCGTTATGAAACAGTATGCTGTTAGAGAAAAATGTCAATATCGGGTTCATAAATCATGCCCAAGAAGGTTCGTCTGCATGTTTTCAAGTAAAAAAACTATGTGATACCTATATAGTATATAAGTATGCTAAATCAGTATACTATGAGAGTATGGAATTGTATTGGTTTGTCTGTGTTTTTTATCAGTGATACTGGTATAGTATATAAGTATGCTATATCAGTATACTATGCGAGTATATAACTGTATTGGTTTGTCTTTGTTATTATCAGTAAAACATAATACCAATATAGTATATATGTATGCTAAATCAGTATACTATGTGAGTATAGAATTGTGCTGCTTTGTCTATATTTTTTATCAGCAAAATATGATACTGATACAGTATATAAGTATACCAACAGAGTATACCATGTGAGTATATAATTGTACGGATTTTTGTGTGTGTTTTTTATCAATAAAACATTATACATAACTGTATTTGTATTATAAACAGGTATATCCTTGAATGCGTGGATGAAAGATGCACTTGGAGACTTAAAGCATCAAGCCTGCGAGCATCAAATCTTTTCAAAGTGACGGATTTCAATTCTGTCCACAGTTGTTTAACTGATAAGAGATTTTGTTCACAAAAGCAAGCTGTCTCAGCTTTTGTTGCAGCTGTGGTACAAGATAAACTTGTTGACCCGAAAACCATATATACACCAACAGATATCCAGAGAGACATCCAAAAAGCATATGGTATGGACTTAAGCTACATGCAAGCATGGAGATCAAAAGAAAAAAACAATACAATTATTGAGATGATCACCAAGTGAGTCATACAAGAAAATGCCAACATATCTTTATATGTTAGAGTACGCTAACCCAGGATCAGTGACCCGACTACACACTGAAGGAGATGGGAGCTTCTTGTATGCATTCATAACTATATATGCATCAATTAGAGGATGGGTCTATTGTAGGCCAACAGTTGTAGTTGATGGAAGTTTTTTAAAGTCAACATATAGAGGGACCATACTCACGGCTTCCACTCAAGACGCAGAGGGTAAGAATACAATCCAATTATATTCAGTTAAAGAAACAAAAAATATTTTCAAATATTTATGATACAAGTATACCAACAGAGTATATAGTTGTTTTGCTACACACTTGCACGTACCTATAACTATACTACTATATGAAATACTAAATTAATATTTTGTGTACAATCCAATTACATTCAGTTAAAGAAACAAAAAAAAATATTTTCAAATATTATATGATACCATTATGATATACAAGTATACCAACAGAGTATATAGTTATTTTGCTACACACCTGCACCTACCTATGACTATACTACTATATAAAATGCTAAATTAATATAGTGTATTGTAATTGATATTTTGTTCTTTGGGTTTACAGGACAAATTCTACCCCTCGCATATGCAATTGTTGATTCGGAAAATGATGCATCGTGGAAATGGTTCTTCGTGCAGTTGAGAGACACCTATGGACAAAGAGAGGGAATGTGCATTGTATTAGACAGGCATGATGCTATATGGAAAGCAACTTCAATTGTCTATCCAGAAGTCCCTCATTGTGCATGTATGTTCCATCTGTGGAACAACATAAAGACAAACTTCAGGAAGAGCCAAAAACAAATCGAAGAAGTATATTTTGGTTTAGCAAGAGCATACACTGTTGAAGAATTCAACAGGCATATGGAAGAGTTAGAAGCTATTGATAGTAGAGTCAAAACATACCTGATGGATATTGGATATGATAAATGGTCCCGGGCGCATTCCAAGGCAAATAGAACCATGACCATGACATCGAATATTGCGGAATCAGTAAATGCAGCAAACAAGCACGCAAGAGACCTCCCAGTTGTGAATTTGCTTGACTTTATGACAACATTGATTCAAAAATGGAATTACACCAATCAGAAGGATGCAGTGGAATCATTTATGAAGATTGGTGCAAAGTATGAAAAAATATTGGCAGATAATACTATCTTATCACAGACGATGACAGTATGCATTTTCAAAATCATAAAAACACTGCATGTACTGTATTTTTATTTTTTTTTACCTTAGTGATTTCACTAAACAACTGAATATTGTTATTTAAAAAATATTATTACTTCATATAGCTAATGACTTTTCTTAATTAAAATTATACTATGTGTTGCCATCAACTGAATTCTTACATTTAGTAATTGATGGCCAAATAAGAAATGTGGTGCGCCTACATGAAAGAAACTGCATTTGTGGGAGGTTTCAGCTAGACGATATTCCATGTCTACATGCAATGGCAGTTATACAAAAATTCCATATGGATTCATACAAGTATTGCTCGGATTACTACAGCATAGACTACTTGCTGAAAACATATGAGATACCAGTAAATCCATTACCTGATGAAACAACGTGGCAAATTCCAGAAAATGTCTCTTCACAGGTGGTACTGCCACCAAAAGGAAAAATCAAACCAGGAAGACCTAAAAAGAAGAGAGGCATAGGAGGCTGGGAAGGAAATACAGTTACATGTGCACTATGCGGGAGAAAAGGACACAACCGGAGAACATGCCGAAATATTCCAAAGAGAGATTGATATAATGCTTCAATGTTTTTATACAACTCAT